GGGGCGGCCCAAGGGGGTGGGAGAGGGTCCGGCCCACGCTGCGCCTGGGATGGGACTGGTCCCACCGGCGCAGGGTAGTAGGAAACTCTCCGCACACTCATCGGACCTGGGCTAGGACTGTGTCTGGGGGCTCCCGGAACTGGGCAGAAAAACCAAAATGGTTCTTTATATCCTCCTTTTTTGTTTTGTTTTGTCAGAGATGGGTGTTCCACTGCAGTTAGAGAAGCTGTATTTGGAGAAGCCTTTAAAGGACCATTTCATAGTTGATGCCAGTCCAAAGATTATAGGTACTTGAATTCAGCAAAATAACCCAAGATAGTCCAATAGTCGATAATTGTAGTGCAAAGACAGCAATATGCAATGTATTAATTATTTTAACTGTCCTGTATTGAAAATGTTTCATTGCCATTTTATCTTTTTTCTTATTTAAATGAATAAAAAAATTAAAAATTTTTTAGGTTCTTGTTTAATTGAATATTGTTTTCCATCTTTGATCTTTGTATGAATGAGTTTTTTGTATAAAATATTTATTTTATTGAGTTTTTTTAATTTGATACATCTCTCCATCATATGACAATTTAGCCATTAAATTTGTAGCTTCATCAACATTAACTGGTTTATTTTCTAGATGTAGTTGATTAATCAGCTATTTCTACCAAGGTTCAAGAGTCAGCGTTCTTGAGATGTGTGCAAGTGCCTTCTGAATGTTTACAAAAGCATTATTCATTCTGTGCACTTTTTCATCATCACAATATTTATCTTCTTAAGCTTAGTGGTAACTGGTTTTGCTTTGTTTTTGGACTTAAAGTTTTTTTGGCTAGTTATGTAAAATACATTTTTGGACTTCTGCCCTCTTAATTTATTCTTGGCCATTGTCTTTGATATCTGTGTGCTGCTGCTCAAGCTCCAGGGAACGCCATGTTTTTTGTATTAAATATGTTTCTGGCAGAGCATTTTTTTTTTAGTATGGGGCATCAAACTCGGGACCTTGTGCTTGCCAGGCAGGTGCTTATGCTGTTGAGCTATATCCCTGGCCCTAAATATATTTCTTGTATAGAGTATATTCTTGAGTTTTTCTTTCTGATCCATTCTGTTGGTATGTCTTTTGACTGGGGAATTGAGACCATTCACATTGAAAGTTATTACTGAAATTATTGATTGATTTCTATCATTGCATTATTTTGTTATTGCCTGTTCCCTGTTTTTCCTTCTGCTTTACTACTCATACTATCTATATTATACTTTTTGGCATTGTGTCTTCATGGTCGCTTTCTAAAGTAATCTTTAGAATTTTTGCAATGCTTGTTTGTGGTTGTGAATTTTTAAAAATGCTTTGTGTCATTTAAAAACCTTATTTCTCCATCAATTTCAAAAGACAGTTTTCTTTATCTATTTGTGTTTTTGTGGACACCCAGGCTGTTTCCAGGATTTGACTATTATCAATTGTTGTGTTATAAACATTGATATGAATGTATTCCTGTAATATGATTTCTGTAGCTCTTTCAAGAAGATTCCTAGGAGAGGAATTTTTGGGTCGAATGAAATTTCTAATTTCAGTTTTTTGAGAAATGTGAACTATAAAAAGTATTTGAGAGTTTTTAGAAAAATGGATACACCTTGAAAATGTTAATTGAAAGACAATAGATACACAAGGTTAAATACTGCATGATATATCTCATTGGAATAAGACTCTATAAATAAAGAGCAAAGTAAAGGTCTGACAAACAGAAACAGGTACATAGATCTTTTTCAAACAGGAAGGGATCCAAGAGACTAAGGGTGAGTAAGGGAGGAAAAGAAGATGTGAAATGATTTAAGATGGGTCATTTACATATAACAAATGCCAATAATGAATGTAAACATTATGTCATAAATATTAACTAATAAAAATATTAAGAACAATAATATAAAAACAGGAAAATGGGAGATAAAGATGGAGGGATAGAGAACAAATTTAAAAAGAACAAGTTAATAAAGAAAAGAAAGATGTCTAAAAAATTCCATTCTGTTTTTAAATGAGTCTTCTCTCCAGCATCTACAGTCTTGAAATGTGAAAGATATGGGGGAGGGATAGTAAATTGCTTCTAAGATCTGCTTTGTTTCCTCACTCATGTTTTTGTGTGTAAATGCTGGATCCTTTCATTTCTTGCTTTCTGAATGTGGGCCACCAGTGGTGTTTGTTGCCTAAGGCTGTAAACACCCCATCAACTCCCATTTTTCCTATCCTTCTGTGTACCTCAATTCAGCTTTCTCTGCCTAGCTCTGTGGCTTACAGGTTTGTGAGATTCAACCCACTCTATTCCACTGCTGCGGCCTCTCTGGCTGTATACCACAGGCTATGGCAAATGTCCAAACCAAGGTGTGCCTTACTTCATGTTGCGGGATGAAGAAAGCAAACATATCTCTGGTCTCTTTGCCTGACATAGAGAGTGTTCAGTCAGACTGCTTGATTTAATAGCCAAACTTCCAGATATAGATACCCTCATGCCCCTTTCCAGATCTTAAACATCCTATCAGATCTGTGTCAGGCTTGCTTCCTCTTTACTGCCTCCTGTAATGGTCTTCCACCCTGTGTTATGGAAGAGTTGACAGCAGAAACACTGGAGTACAATTGTTCTGCAGCTGCTCTGCAGCTCAGTCACACACATTTAACCCCTTGCCTAATGGCTTCTGATTATACTCACTGAGATATGGAAGATGTTGCAGTGGACTTCCTTCCCAACTCCAGTCTGCCTTGCAGAAGCAGTCATTTTTAAGGTAAAATACCATTGCATCTTTGCCATTTATAGTAGCTTTTGGCTTATCTTGGGACCACCAGTGCCAACCTGGTCCACTGTGTCTCCCAGCTGTTGACCCTTTTTGTCTTAATGTGTGCCAGTGGAGGGAGCAAGGGTGAGATTTCCAGACTGCCTATTTCCTTTCTTTCTGCTGTGCTTTGTCTCCCCAGCTTTTCTTCAGTTTCTAATCTTCCCAACATTTCCCTTCCAATTCCTACAGATTCACTTCTTTTGTTCTCTACACCAAATTACCTTTCAGTTTATCTACACTTTTCTGCCCATCTTTATTCTGCTATTTTTTCCCAAAAGCACCTACCTAGAACGGAACTTGTACAAAATATAGTTGTATAATGTTCAAAACTCAATAAACATAAGACAACTCAGTATAAAGATGAACAAAAGATTTGAATTGATATCTCTCCTTTGAATATGTACATGTGGCTAAGAATTACAGAAACAGATGCTCATTTTAATTTATTAGGAACATGTAATAAAATTAAAATTTGATAACATTTCTCATCTACCAAGTATAGCCACAATAATAAAGACAGATGTCTATAAGTGTTGGTGAAGATGTAGAAAAATTGGAACCATCATATATGTTGGTAAGAATATGAAAATGTACACACATTTTGGAAAACAGTTTGGCAGTTCCTCAGCATTTTACCATATTGCCCTATGATTTAGCATTTCTAGTTATATAACCCTGAAATGAAAACATTTATCCATTTACAAATTTGTACATGAACATTTATAAAAGTATTAATTATCATAGCTCAATGTAGAGATATATGTTCATCAAAGGATAAATGGATAAACAAAATATGATATATCCCTATAGCACTATGCTGTTTAGCAATAAATGGAACTGATGGACTGATACATCCCACAACATACATAAACTTTGAAAATCTTATGCTAAGTGAAAGAAACCAGACACAAAATGAAGCAACTTTTTGATACTAATTATAGCAGAAAGCTAAACTATAGAAACAAAATATGACATGGAGTTGCTTGGATATATAGACTATATATGAGCTCAAGATTTCTTTATGGAGTTTATGAAGTGTTTTAAAATTAGTGGTAACAGTTGTAGAACTCTTTAAAGATACTAAAAATCTTTGTATTACCTTTAAAATTAGTGAATACTATGGCATGGTAATATCATGGTATTTTAATTTTATCTTAATAGAGTTATTCATTTAAAACATGAGGCACAACACATGGGTACCACAGGTTCACTGTTGTGCCAGAGGGACACAACAGGTTCACTTCCAAGGGCTGCAGTAGGAAGGAGCTCAACACAACAGCTAGAACCAGGCCAGACATAACTGGATAAATTCAAATTTAATAGATCTGCACCTGAATTGCAGTAGGTGCCAAGGTTATAACTGCACCAAAGCTCTACACCAAAGGGCACAGGTCAGTGCTATACGAAATGACAAAGATAAAGAGCAAAATGCAATCTCAGGCCTTGAGCCCACCCAGAACAAGTGTGGAGGACACTAGCTCAGCTGAAATGAACAAATTAACAGCATCTGAAGGAAAGAAACAACAGCAGAATGGTGTAGAGGAACTCAGAGCAGAATTAATTTCTGAAATAAAGAAAGAAATCTCTGACTTCATTGCATCTGAGGTAAAGAATCGAATACAGAAACACATGGAGGAAACCCAATATGAAAAAACTCTATAGTAAAAGAATTAACAACTGCCTCTACAGAAGACATTGATAAAAAAAATAGAGGAGATTAGAAAAATGACAGATTCTTTGAATGAGAAATACAGGAAAGAAATAGATCGCATGAAGCAGAGTCAAAGAGGAACTTAAAATCTCAATCACGTGTCTGCTAAATCGTTTGAGTGAAAGTGAAGACAGAGTTTCAGATCTTGAAGATGCTGGTGCAGCTAGTGAAAAGGTAAGAAAGGATCTCATAAAAACAAATAGAATGTGGAAAAAAAAATCCATCACCTGCAAGATGGTGCAAAGATGAAAAATATGAGACTAATACGCATCAATGAGAAAGACTGAGTCAATGCAAATGATATAAAAAGAATATGGGCAGAAATAATAGCAGAAAACTTCCCAAATATGAGGAAACAATGTGACATTCAGGTAAGTGAAGTATACAATATGCCAAATAACTTCAACCCAATTAAAAACACACGGACACATATAATAGTCGAGATCCCAGAAATCCAGCACAAGAATAAAATACTGAAAGGTGCTAGAGAAAAGAAGCATATCACATTCAAAGGAAAACCCATCAGAATTATGGCCGACTTCTCTTCACAAACCATGAAGGTAAGAAGAGCATGGAGCAGAGTACTTCAAGTCCTCTATGAAAACAAATTCCAGCCCAGACTACTATACCCTGCAAAACTCTCTTTCAAGTTTGATGGAGAAGAGAAATAGTTCCATGAAAAAGAATAATTAATTTCATGGTGACAAAGCCAACCCTACACAGACTACTGAAAGATATTCTAGAGAGGGACCAAAATGATCAGAACTCCATGAACAAGAAGACAAGTAACCCATTAAATGAGGCAAACAATTAAACACAGGACAAAAAGAGTAAACAATAGCAGGTAAATAACATGGCAATCATATGTCAACACATCCCAGTTATAACTATCAATGTAAATGGACTCAATTCACCAATTAAGAGAAATAGACTGGCACAGTGGATTAGAAAACAAAATCCAACAATATGCTGTATATAAGAAACACATGTAACTCAAAAAAATTCATAGACTGAAAGTCAAAAGATGTAAAACAATACTACATGTCCCAGAACCTCAGAAGAAAGCAGGGTTAACAATCATATTTTCAGACAGTCTCAACTTCAAACCAAGAATGATCAAATGAAATAAAGAAGGCTACTATGTACTGGTTAGGGGAAAAATTCAAGAGGAAGAGTTAACAATCATAAATACTTCTTTACCAAACACGGGAGCACTCAACTATATAAGACACATTTTAATGGACATGAAAAATCTAATATTCAATACTACAATCTTAACAGGAGACCTTAACACCCTCTTATCCAAAAAAATAGGTCAACTTGGCAAAAAATTAGAAAAGAAGCAGCAGAATTG